GGAGAGGCCTGGGAAGGCCCCACCACGGGCTGGGCATTGTTCGTTTTGAGCGCCCCTCAAAACGAACACCTGGAAGCTCTGTTTTGTTCCGTCCTGGCGCCCTCGAGGCCCCTCCCGAGACGGCTTTGAAACCGCGAGGAGCCCCCGAAAGGAACTCAAAAAGATCTCAGGAACTTCGAAGAGAGCCCCGAGAGAGGCGTAGGAAGGCCCCGCGAGAGGCCGCGCTCTGTTCGTTGTGAGCGCCCCTCAAAACGAACACCACGAAGCTTTTTAGGGTTCCGTCCTGGCGCCCTCCAGGCCCTTGTCGAGACGGCCTTGAAGCCGCGAGGAGCTTCCCAAAGGAACCCACAAATATCTCAGGAACTTCGAAGAGAGCCCCGAGAGAGGCCGAGGAAGACCCCGCGAGACTGGGCCCTGCCGACGCCTTCGACGTAATCGCATTTTTTTGACGCCTTGCCGAAGGGTGTTGTCGCGCTGCGTTCCAGCGCTGCAGAGGGACAGGCGGGAGAACCCGAAGGAGAGGAGAAAGAAGAGGAAGATGAGGGACAGGATGAGAGGGACGAGGATGATCAGGAGGGCTCTGAGAAGGATGAGGGAGTCAGGAGGAGGAGGAGGAGGAGGAGGAGGAGGAGGAATAGGAGGAGGAGGAGGAGGAGGAGGAGGAGGAGGACGAGGAGGACGAGGAGCAGGATGAGGAGGAAGGAGGAGGAGGAGGAGGAGGAGGAGGAGGAGACGGAAACGGAGGAGGAGGAGGAGGAGGAGGAGGAGGAGGAGGAGGAGGAGGAGGAGGAGGAGGAGGAGCAACAGGAGCAACAGAAGGATAATGAGGTGGATGGGAAGACATCCATGTTCTTCTCCCCCGGCTGCTCCATCGCGCCTCCGTTCCCAATGCGTTTTGCACATGGCCCGATCGAGCCTCCTCATCTCCCATGCTCCCTAATCAGGCGGCGCTCAAGGTGCTCGGCGACAGGTGGAAGGCGAACCTGACGCCATCCATCGTGATCGCCTGACGGCAGCGCCTCATCACTTCGCAAGTGAACGTAGTCCACGGGTACACCCTAGTCAGCTACAGCGCTGGGATCAGTGCGTGCGAGAAGGGTGAGCAGTGGCAGCGGGCTCTTGCGCTGCTGAGCGAGATGTGGGAGGCGAAGCTGGAGCACAACGTCATCTATCTAATGACTTTCCGCCCATCCCGCCACCGTGCCTGGGTTGTGTGTCTGAGAACTCTTGGATGTTCGTTTTGGATCTCGTCGGGGCCTCTCAGGGGCCTGCTGAAGGCTGTTTTCAAGCCTTCGGGGGACTGGTTTGGGGCCTCGTTGGGGCCTCTTGAGGCCTCTTGAGGCGTCTAGCTGGCCTCTTGGGGCCTCTTGGGCGCCTCTTGGGGCCTCCTGGGTGCTTCTTGGGGCGGAAGGCTAGAATTTCGGTTTGTGTTCCCCTCTTGGGCCCCTCGTGGGCCCGTCTTGGGGCCCTCTTGAACTGTCTTGGGCGTCTTTTGGGCCGTCTGGGGGCCCTCTTGGGCTGTCTGGAGGCCCTCTTGGGGGCCTCTGGAGCAGTATCGGGGCAGTCTTGGGGGCCTCTGTTGACATCTTAGGCGTCGGAAGCTCGAAAGGTGGAGCGCCCCGGACACACTAACATACCGGTGGGACATCCATCATTTTGGCCTCTCGGTGCTCGAGGCCCTCTAGGGCCATCTTGGAGCCCTCTAAGGGCCCTCTTGGCCCTGTTTGGGGCCCCTTGTGGATCGGCAAAAATCACGCGACAGGACGCGACAAGTCCCAAGGAGGGCACGCGCCAAGGCGAAGGAGATTTGTGAATTTGGGGTCCTAGCTCTTGGAAGAATCCTAGGATTGAGGACGGAGGCTTAAGGGGTGAGGCAAAGGACCTGAGTACAGTAGGTTCGTGCGGCGCTGACGCGCTGGCGACGCCAGCGAAGGCGTTAAAGGTTGAATTCTGCGACGCGGAAGCCCCGATGGTCACGGTAATGCCATTGGACCTGGCAGGATTCAACCTTGAACAATCGGGGCCGCGATCGATGCAAGATTGAACGATCGACGCGGTGTCAAAAAATCCTTTGCGCGCGCCGACGCCGCACGGACCTGCCGCACATTTGCCGCCCGTGGCGGGCACTTCGCCTGTACGCAGCGGCCGCTCTTGCTGTCGATGAGGGGCTAATCGCGTGCCGCTTGCACGCCGGCAGAGGCGAAGGCCACGGGCTTTTCGCCCAGCAGCACCCTGCAACATCAAGCATCAACAGCGATCATCATCATCATCACCACCATCATCATCAGCATCATCGTTATCATCATTAAATCATTATCATCATCATCAGCATCATCAGCATCCTCATCATCATACACAGCATCAGCAGCATCAACAACACCATCACCACCAGCAGCAGTAGCAGCATCAGCCCCAGCATCAGCATCAACATCAGCATCGTCATCATCGTCACGCAGCAAGGAGAGCCTGCACCATCACGCAGCATGCACCACTGAGAGTTCGCATTGCCATCCAGCCACTCTCAGCAACAGCAAGCAACGGCGGCAAACACCACCAGCAGCACGCAACAGCGACGGCACGCAGCACCAGCACGCAGGAGCAGGCGCGCAGCATCGGCCGACACCAAGCAGCAACCCGCTGCAGCACCAAGGCGCGTCGAGCAGGATCACGCCACGGCCAACACCGGCCGACAGAGGCAAGGAGCAGCATCGTGCGCACATAATGCTGCAGCACGCAGCGCCAACCACCAGCAATTGGCCGTGTGCAGCGGCGGGCAGGTGGGGACAGCAGCAACGCCGGAACGATCTGTAGTTTGCGGTCTAGCTCAAACTGCAGCAGGCATGCCAGGTAAGACGTGGGCCAGCCGGCAGGCGCCCCAGGGAAATGTCGGATCCTCCGATGGTCCCAGGCACTTTCAGAAGTTCTGAGGCACGTAAGGGGCCGCAGAAGTTAGGCGAAACATGTGCCCCACGATTCCCCAAGCAGCGCTTGCACTTTGGGGTCCTCGCTCGCTTTCTAAGGAACTGCGCCTGGCTGGCGGTCTGGCGGCTCCGTGCTCGCCGTCGCCGCCCCGTCGTCGCCTCGTCGCCGCCCGTCGTCTGGGCCTGGCTGGCGGTCTGGCGGCTCCGTGCTCGCCGTCGCCGCCCCGTCGCCGCCTCGTCGCCACCTCGACTTCACAGCATATATTGCACCATATAGGGTGTAACGCGTATATAGCTCTACATCGATTCCACAAGTAGTATGGCACCACATAGATTGCACCACGTACCTTCTCCTTTCCAAAACGGTATTCGGATCTACCTCCCCCCAGGCTGTACGGTCCGCCACTTGGTATTGCAGTTTACATGTATTCTGCCCTGCCGTCCATCCTAACTACGAGCTCGTACCATCCCAGGCAGTCCGTGATCGCTCCCCTTTAATCTTGAGCAGCAGAAATTCGAGCGCACTCTTTTATCCAAACCATTAGTTTTCAACCATGCCGTGTAACAAGTGGGACGAAGTGCACACGCGCGCGTTGTCGCGCGCGCGTGCTGGAATCCCTCATACATAAACCGTAAGTTGCGTAGGGGAGTCAACATTGACCATCCTGGAAGCATATGCAATACAATGATTGCGCAACATGATTGGTTTTATCAAGCATGCGCTCGCGCCGTTGCGAATTCTCAAGACAACCTTGCATTTTTCAACACTTCGATGACATGCTACCAAACGTGACCCCCGCGCGCGCATGTCGAGATCACTTGAACGCCCTTGTGCGCGTGCCATTGCAATAATCCCTTGCAAGCATCGGGACGATTACACACGCGCGCTTCGCCGCCCGCGCATGCCGAAATCCTTCAAACGCCTTAGGGTTTTGCAAGGGTAAATCGAGTACCCCGAAAGCATTAAACACAATGCTTTCGCAACAAGCATTTGCAATCAAACATGCGCTCGCGCTGTTTCGAATTCTTAAGGCAAACTTCGTTGTTCTCCTAATTCCCATCACATGCTATCACATTTGCCTCTCGCGCGCGCGTGCCGGAATCGTTCGAACGCCTTTTTGCGCGTGCTGTCCCAATAATCCCTAGCAGCCGATGAGACTAAGTGCACACGCGCGCGTCATCGCGCGCGCATGCCGAAATCCTTCAAAAGCCTTCGGTTTCGTATGGGTTTCAAATCCGATTGCCCCAACACCATAAAAAAGTGTCTGCTGTAGGCTTGTCAACATTTCATTCAATTCGACCAACGGGCCTCTCGCGCCGCATGTCGACTCCATTCGAACGCGCACACCCGCTGGCCACACCCGCCCGTCGGCCGCGCGCACATATGTCGAAATCCTCCCCGCACTTTTAGCACCGATGCGTGGACACCATCATCGTCATCGGCGTGACCAGCATCGGCGCCGTCATTGGCCTTGCCGTCGTCACCGTCATCATCATTAGCATTAGCATCGCTACTATCATCGTGTCTGCCGTTGTCGGCGTCGCCATGATACCGCGTCCGCCCGAGCCACCGACTCGCACTGAATTGGCCGCGCGTCGGCGCGGCCTGCGGGACGCGCTGGGAAATGGCCAGCGGTCAGCGCCAACGCGGCCGCGTCGGTCGCGGCGGACCAGCTGGCCGCTTTGCGCGCGAGCCTGCGCGCGCTAGCGCGGCCGCAGCGATGTGCCAGCCAGCGCCAAGCAGTCATCGCAATCGCCGCATGGGCTTAGCAAAACAAGTTGCCAGTGGGTGGGTGGGATGATTGCGCGAGCACTGGTGTCGCTCGGCAGGGCCACTTTCACTACGGAGATTGTGGTTTTTTGCCTAGATGGTATTATCTAGATTGATAGCAACACACTGTTTGGGTTCTACGCTGGCTACAATTTTCAATGCTAAGACTTAATATCGTATGTGCCTACTTATATAGAGCATGACAGCTGGTGAGCAGGCAAGCAGGCCCGCGACCTTTACCCCTGCGTTCGCTCAAGTTTCTGTGGGCGTGAGTCCGCGGGCTCGCCATCTTTTCAGCTACAACGCTGGGATCAGCGCGTGCGAGAAGGGCGGGCAGTGGCAGCGATCTGCGGCGCTGCTCAGCGAGATGTGGGAGGCGAGGCTGGGGCCCGATGTCATCTACACTGCAATACCGGGCAATCCGACCGCGCCCCATAAAACCGCCAAGACAGCCCCAAGAGGGTTCCAGGACGGGCACGGCCCCAGAAGGCTCCCAGAGGGCCCAAGACGTCTTCGGATAGCCCCCACCGGGCGCCACGACGGTTCAAGGGTCCCCGTAGAGGCCCAAAACGACCCAGGGTGGCTCAAGAGGGCTTCAACACACATTCGCATCGCCGGCACCAAACAGCAGTATTCAGCACGCAGCAGCAGGCACGCCACAACAGTCAGGTCAAGTGTAGTCGGCAGCGGATTCGAGAAACAAACATCAGCAAGTGGCAGCAGGTAGTTCTACTTAACAGCAAGCAGCATTAATCGGCAGCAAGCGGATGCACAAGCAATGAAGCAAGCAAGCAAGAAATCAGGCCAGCATTCAAGCAGGCAAGCAGGCAAGCAGGCAGGCAATTTGTTGGGCCAGCAGGGTAGCAGTCACGCAAGCAGGGCAGCATGTAGGAAGGTAAACATGCTAGCAGAACTAGCAGCAACCAGCATCAGCCTTCAGCGGTCCATCAGCCGTAAGAAACAGCAAGCAGCGACAGCACGCATCAACACCACCCGCACTAAGTAGCATGCGACAGCAGCAGCTATACACCGCAGCAAACAACAGCCCGCACCAGCAAGCAGGCAGCAGCAGCATGAGCTCCGAACAGCAGCAACTGACGTCCAACATGAACAGCCACAAGCGGAAGCGAGTGGACAAGCAAGCGATGAAGCAATCGAGCAGGCAAGCAGGCAATCATGATATTTGGGCACGCTGGCCAGCGTGCAAGCAGGAACGTAGGGAAGAATGCTGGTCGGCTAGCAGGCTAGGAGCCATGCGCGCAGGAAAAGCACGCAAGCAGGCATGCAAGCAGACAAGCGATCTTGCTTCTTGCATTCGAGGCATCTGTCGTGGACGTAAACCCACGGACCGCCTCAGTCCCGTACTACGGTGCGGCGATCCTTGCGTGCGACAAAGGTCCTCTGCCTTGAAAAATGCTGCCCGGGCCCTCCGGGGCGCCCTGCGAGCCCCCGGGGCGCTCCGAGACGCCCATAGACAGCTCCCAGATCGCCCAATAGCGGCCGAAGATGACCCCAAGACGGCCCCAAGAGGGCCCCAGAGGGCGCCGAAGACAGGCTGTCTTCGGCGCCCTCTGGGGCTGCCCCACGTCGCCCCAAGACGGCCGAAGAGGCACACCAAGACGGCCCAAGAGGGCGCCGAGAGGCCCCAGGAGGACGAACAGAGGCCCCGAAACGGCCTCCAAGAGGCCTTGGGTGCTTGTCTGTTGGGGAGCGTTGAACTTCCAGCGTCGTCTTGGGGGCCTCTTGGACCCTCTGGGAGCCAGCTCTGGGCCTTTTTGGGACGTCTTGGGGCGGTGAGCTCGAAATCGCACTGGGGCCCGTCTTAGAGAGTTAGGGAGTTCGATAGGTCGGTTCACACTACCAGGTACAATCATCATTCGGCCCCAGCGATGAGCAGATAGAATTATCACGGCGATCGGCCCCGCAGAAACTATGATGAACACAGAGCGCGGCGCGAGAAACAGCTTTTGTCCACACCACGCCGTGCCTACATGGGTGTGGTGTGCTTCCATTGACACCGCTTCCACCACCGCGGTCCTGCCTGCATCCCTCGCCCTCCTTCTCCTCCACCGGCCACCTCCATCCACACCGTCCCCTCCCCCCCCCCCCGCGAGGCCCCAGAGACGCTCCACTTCCACGTCCACACCATGGCGGGCAGATTCTGCGGCCAGAAGGCCGCGGGTCAGTCTTAGTCAGCTACAGCGCTGGGATCAGCGCTTGCGAGAAGGGCGAGCAGTGGCAGCGGGCTCTGGCGCTGCTGAGCGAGATGTGGGAGGCGAGGCTGGAACCCAACGTCGTCAGCTACAACGCTGTGATCAGCGCGTGCGAGAAGAGCTGGCGTTGGCAGCGGGTTCTGGCGCTGCTGATCGAGATGCGGGAGGCGAAGCTGGAGCCCGACGTCATCTCTATTACCACCGCTTCGGATGCAACTTCTGGGAGGTCAAATTCGGATTTTGCCTTGGTCCGGAATCTGGCCTACTCCGCTGTAATCCCGCTGAATCCCGCTTCGTCCGGCTCTATCCCGATTGATCCGGCTCAATCCGGCTTAATTAAGCCCTCTTCATCCGAGGTCCAATCTGGTGTCACGGCCCCCCAATTGGGCTTCATCTTCTTCATTTTTTCCGACGAGGACCTCCCAGCAGTCTTGGCACCGCTCGGACGTGTGCATTTTTTTTCCGGCGGGGACTATTCAGGAGCGTCCTGGATCCTCCTGCGAAAAAGCCGCGCACGAAACCGAACAAAAAGCACAGGGATTGTGCGTCCGAGCGACGGGGAGCAGCTGCCCCCTGGCGCCGCACAGCTTCGGAAAAAGGGGCCCCCCCGCTGGCGGCGCCGGCGGGCGCGCCGTGGGCCTCTCCCGGGCGGACCCCTCGAGGCCCCACTGTGCTGCTCCGTCGGGGCCCCGTGGGCCGCCCCGGGGGGCCCTCGGAGCGATGGCGCAGCAGGCTGCTGAGTATCGCCGCGACGCTGCTCGGCCCTGGCCCCTGCAGGGCCCCCGGCCCCTGGCCCCCGGCCCCGGCCCCAGCTTTGGCCCCCGCCCCAAGCCCGCCAGCCGGCCCTTGCTCCAGCCCCAGCTCCCGCTCCGGCCCTGCCCGGCCGGGCCCCAGCTCTGCTGGTCCTGGCCCTGGTCCCAGCCCAAGCCCCAGCCCCGGCCCGGGCCCTGGACCTGGCCCCGGCCCCGGCCCTGGCCCCCCCGGCCCCTGCCCTGGCCCTGATTTCCGTGTCTTGTGCTATTTTTCCCATCCATCCTGTGGTGTTGGGTCTTCGTTTTGAAGACAGAGAGCGCCCCGCGTCCCACTCCACCCTTCTCCCTCCCTCTCTCATCTCATCCTTGCCTCTGCCCTCCGCATGTCCATGTCGGCACACCACTCAGACGCATCGCGGCCCCATAATAGTGAGCTCCACCGAAGGTCCCAGTGGCAGCGTTCATATGGCGGCAAAGTGCCAGTTTCAGCACACCGCTCACACGCCTCGTGGCCCCGTAGGGAGCTCCGCCGAAGTCTCCACTGCCAGCGCCCGCATGGCGGCACCGCATCCATGTCGGCACACTCCTCACACGCTCCGTGGCCCCATGGAGAGCCTCGCCCAAGGCCACAGCGACAGCGTCCGCCATGGCGGCACCGCACCCATTCCGGCACACCCCGCAAACGCTTTGAGGCCACATAGGGAGCTCCGCCGCAGGCCCGAGTGGCAGCGACCGCATCGCGGCAACGCGGCCACTTTTGCGCACCCCTCACGCGTTTCGTGGCCCCATGAGTGGCTGCGCCGAGGGCCCCAGCGGCAGCGTCCGCATGGCGGCACCGCCTCCATGTCCGCACGCCCCGCCCCAGTGGCAGCGCCCGCCTGCCAGCACCGCGCCCATTCAGAGCACACCCCTCAACACGTTCTGTGGCCGCAGGGGGCGCTCCGCCGCAGGTCCAGGTGACAGCGGCCGCATGGCGTCACCGCACCCATGTCGGCACACCCCTCACGCGCTTCGGGGGTCCCTGCGGGCACCGCGCCCCTTTCGGGGCACACCTCGCGCGGTTCGTGGCCCCACGGGGAGCCCGTCGAACGCCCTGGCGGCAGCGACCGCACGACGGCGGCGCGCCCCTTTCGGCACATGAGGGGACTCCGCCGAAGGTCCACGGGTCAGGAGGGAAAGAAGCACACAGACACAATGAATCGCCGAGCCCCAGGAAAATGTATGGTAAAGTATGGGAAGTGGGGGGGGAGACAAAAAGCCAGAACATATGGGAAAATATGGGGAGTCCTTTTATTTGTGTGTATTAGTTTGTGTGTCCCAGGGCCCCTTCACGAGGGCCAGCGTCCGCATAGCGTCACCGCGCCCACTTCACAGCACGCCCCTCAAATAGTAGCGCGAGCGGGTTTGACCCGGTGACCGGGACCGCGACCGCAACGATGGCGTGGTGCGTCTGTGGCTGCAGGCTTGGCTTTGGCGCCCCGATCGAGGCGCGGGGTGGCCCGTGTGCCTCGGCGTTCTCTAAGTTTAGGTCGGGCGTGTCCCCCGACAGGCGGGCCCAGGCTGCGGTCGGGGCTTTGGCTTTGGCGAGGGCCCGCGTCTCTCGGGCCTCTTTCGCTTTTTTAGCGCGCCAAGCCCGCCTCTCTCGGGCCCCGGACGCCCGCCTCACCCTCTCGGCGCGCAGTCGAGAGCGGGGGGAGGAGGAGGAGAAGGAGGAGGATGACGAGGACGAGGACGAGGACGAGGAGGAGGAGGAGGAGGAGGAGGAAGAAAACCAGTGGAAACCCAAGAATCATCAACGACGTGGGAATTAACCCTCCCTCCAAGCTCCTTTTTTATTGGCCCCTACAACGGTTCATTCCCATGGAGGGAACTGCCTCGTTGGAAGACAACAGTTTGACGATCCTGAAGCGTGCCTAAACATTGTTCTCGGGATTTCCTCGCCACGTATCAACCTGACTGCTGCGTCTTGACGATCCAGAATCCTGCCAGAACGCCATTTTTGGAACTTCAACACAGCGAATCAACATAACTGTTGCGCCCGCATAATCCGGAATCCATCCAAAACACCATCTCTGGGAATCCGTGAACATTTTTGCAACTTTTATGTGCGCGGCGCTAAGGCGAGAGCCACATGTTGGGAACCACCCGCCTTCAATCCGTGAAACTCTTGCACATTTTGAAAGCGAATGTGCGCAGCGCTGAGGCGAGAGCTACATTTTGAAAAGGAGTCGCCCTCAAGCAGTGAAACTCTTGCACATGTTTTTTAATCGAATGTGCGCGGCGCGGAGGCGAGAGCCACATTTTGAAAAGGAGTCGCCCTCAAGCAGTGAAACTCCTTGTACATTTGTAAAACGAATGTGCGTGGGGCTGAGGCGAGAGCCACATTTTGAAAACCACCCGCCCTCAATCCGTGAAGCTCTTGCAATTTTTGAAAGCGAATGTGTGCGGCGCTGAGGCGAGAGCCACATTTTGAAGAGGACCCGCCCTCAATCCGTGAATCTCTTGCACATGTTTTTTAATTGAATGTGCGCGGCGCTGAGGCGAGAGCCACATTTTGAAAACCACCCGCCCTCAATCCGTGAAGCTCTTGCATTTTCGTTCAAACCAATGTGCGCGGCGCTGAGGCGAGAGCCACATTTTGAAAACCACCCGCCCTCCATCTGTGAAACGGGTGTCACTTTTTATGCTTGCCCTAAAAACTGGCCTCGGGATGCGACAGGGAGGATTTATCTATAAGGAGAAGGAATGCAGGAGGAGGAGGAAGAGGAGGAGGAGGAGGAGGAAGAGGAGGATGAGGATGAGGATGAGGATGAGGATGAGGATGAGGAGGAGGAGGATGAGGCGGAGGAGGAGGAGGAGGAGGAGGAGGAGGAGGAGGAGGAGGAGGAGGAGAAGGGTGGGGCGAGCAGGGAGATGGGGGCCCCGCCCTGGCGCGGCGCGTCGCGCAGCTGCACCTCGCTGCGCCCGCAGTGCGGGCCAGAGCGTTTCTGCCTGGCCCCTGGCGGCGTGGAGAGCCCCCAGGAGGGTGGCCGGGGCCCTGCCTGGGTGCCAGCCGCTCCGCCCCTCAGCTCCTGGGGTGTGAATTTGGATTACCCTGCGGGGCCGCTCCGGCTGGGCGCACCTGTTCCAGCCGCCCCGCATGCCAGAAGGATTGTCCAGGATCTAGAGGCTAGGGGCGTCTGGAGTGCGAGGAGGAGGAGGAGGAGGAGGAGGAGGAGGAGGAGGAGGAGGATGAGGAGGAAAGGAGAGGAGGAGGAGGAGGAGGAGGAGGAGGAGGAGGAGGAGGAGGAGGAGGGAGGAGGAGGAGTCTGGGTGGGGCCGCCCACCCAGCCTGCGGAACGCTGGAGACTGGGGGCGTCTGGAGGGACTGGCTGGGTGGGGCCAGCCTGCGGAGCGCGTGGCCGCGTTCGTCGCCTCGTCGTCTCCTCGTCGTCGTCGTCGTCGTCGCCCTCCTCCTCCACCTCCTCCTCCTCCTCCTCCTCCTCCTCCTCCTCTACTTCCACTGCGTGCGCGCTAACGTGCCTCGGGTTTCTCTTGGGCCCTGTTAGGGGCTGAAGTCGTCGGCGTCATCGCCGTCGCCGTCGCCGTCGCCGCCGCTGCCGCCGCTGTCGTCGGTCGTCGGTCGTCGTCGTCGTCGTCGTCGTCGTCGTCGTCGTCGTCGTCGTCGTCGTCGTCGTCGTCGTCGTCGTCGTCGTCGTCGTCGTCGTCCTCGTCGGTGTCGTCACCGTCGGCGTCGTCGTCACCGTCGGCCTCCTCAGCACACGCACAAAAAAGCGTCATCATGAAATCTTTCCGGCAGCATCCCCGCACACATCCCACGTCCAATTTCGGGCAGTTTGAATCCATTGCAACAGCAGCAGTTGTTTGTAGATTTTATTCATTAACCCACAATGGTCAGCTACAACGCTGGGATCAGCGCGTGTGAGAAAGGCGAGCAGTGGCAGCGTGCTCTGGCGCTGCTGGGCGAGATGCGGGAGATGAAGCTGGAACCCGACGTCATCTGCTTATTCTAATGCAGGGCGCACCGCGTGCGGAAAGGCTGCGCGCTCAAGTGACTTACTTAAGTTCAGCCAGGTCGGACCTGGCATGCTCCGGGGCCCCCCAGGGGCGCTACAAACAGCCCCAAAGGGCCCCAAATGGCCCCAAGAAGGTCCAAGATGGCCCGAGACGCTTCCAGACGGTCCAAGAGGTCGCCAATATGGCCTTCCGACGGCCCAGCCAACAGGGCTCTAAGACGGCCCAAGAAAACCCAAGAGTCCTTCTCAAAGGGCCTCGAGAGTCAAACATCATTGGTTTCCCTGGTTTTTTTAATGAAGATTTTGACGTTCTCGCCTTTTCCGGCTCCAGACGTTCTAAGACGGCAGGCACAATAGGCTCCCAAGACGCCCCAAGAGGGCCCAAGAGGAAAGTTCGAACTGATATTTCGCGCCCTCCGCGCCAAGATGAGCCCTGACGCCATCAGCAGGCCCCAAAGAGGCCCCCCGGCAGCCCCATCGGGCCCCAGACGGGGCCCTGACAGGCCCCAGGACACCCCTTCCGAGGGAAGACCCCTCAAGAGAACTCTGGTTGGGACTTCGCCAGCCACTCGGGAAAATGAGGCCTCCATGCGATTCTCATGTCTCATTCCTCGGCGGAGCGGCTCCGGTCTGCATGGGCGACCCGCCCGGGAGCTCTCCGCGAGAGTGCTGCAGGCCCGCCGGCTGCCCGGGGGCATGCGCCGCAGTGCCTTCTCTGCCCTCCTGCCGCGGCCGGCCGCAGCGGGGCATGGTCGGAGCATGAAAAGCGCACCTGCGCTCCACGACTTCCAGTGTTGGCCCTCTCATGGACCCAAGACGGCCCAGGATCGTTCCCCAGACATGATCGCGTCGTATCAAGAATCAGGGCAGGTTTTTGCCAGTTTCCGTCCTCGGGGGGCCCTCGCCGGGCCTCGGGACCGTCAAAACACGATTCAGGACGAAAAACTGGTCCCGGGGAAAGGGTCAGGACTTCCAGGGACGCCGTCCTGACTGAAAAAATCAGGACCTTGCATGTCTGGGTCCAGAGCGGCCCAAGAGTTCCTCCGCCTTACCTCCCGAAGGCCCAGCTGGGCTCCAAGGTAGCCCAAGAAAGCCCACAGAAGGCACGGGAAGGCCCAGATTCGGCCCATGGGGAGCCCCGTCACAGATTTCGGCAGCAAGCAGCAGCAAGCAGCAAAGAGCAAGCAATCAACAAGCCAATGCAAGCAGGCAAGCTGTTCGCAAGCAACAGTGGCAGCAAACAGTTTAAACAAACAAGCAGTAACAAGGATACGCTGGACACGCTGGTTGATGTGGACGGAGTCGGCGGTTCAGCCCTAGTCAGCTGCAGCGTTGGGATCAGCGCGTGCGAGAAAGGCGAGCAGTGGCAGCGGGCTCTGGCGCTGCTGCGCGAGATGTGGGAGGCGAAGCTGGAGCCTGACGTCATCAGCTACAGTGCTGGGATCAGCGCCTGTGGGAAGGGCAAGCAGTGGCAGTGGGCTCTGGCGCTGCTGAGCGAGATCTGGGAGGCGAAGCTGGAGCCCAGCGTCATCTGTACTACAATTCGGGGCGAAGCGCGTGCGAAAAAGGCGAGCAGGGCGAACCGGTCCGAGATGCTTCACAGCCTCCCAACAGACTTTGAGTGTTGCCAATGAGCTCGCACGAGAGCCTCAGGCGCCAGCACCTTGCGCCGTTTTTGGATTCTCAGAGGCTCCAAAGCCCCCAAGCTGCATAATTACCCCACAGAGGCCCCAGACCACTCCCAGATGCCCCACGCACCCCGGGAGACGCCGATCGTTGCCAAAGAGCTCCCAAGAGAGCCTCAAGCCCTGGCACCTTTTGCCGTTTGTGGACCCCCAGCAGCCCCAAAGCAGAACCCCGAACCCCAAAGAGCGCCACGGAGTGCCCTCCCTGCTCTCCGCTCTTCTCCTCCTCCTCCCCATGCCCGGGGCACACCTGCGCGTTTTTTTTGTTTTTTATTTTTGTTTGTTCTTTTTTGTTTTCTTTTTTTCCCAACCAACCTGTGTTGTTGGGTCCTCGTTTTGAAGAGACGGTCCCCGCGTTCCTTCCTCCTTCCTCCTTCCTCCTCCTTCCTCCTCCTCTCCTTCCTCCTCCCTCCTCCCCCTCCCTTCTGGCACACCCCTCATAGGGAGCTCCACCGAAGGCCCCAGTGGCTGCGCCCGCATGCGGTTCCACGGCACACCCCTCACACGTTTCGTGGCCCCATAGGGAGCTCCACCGAAGGCCCCAGTGGCTGCGCCCGCATGCGGTTCCACCCCCCATTCTGGCACACCCCTCACACGTTTCGTGGCCCCATAGGGAGCTCCACCGAAGGCCCCAGTGGCTGCGCCCGCATGCGGTTCCACCCCCCATTCTGGCACACCCCTCACACGTTTCGTGGCCCCATAGGGAGCTCCACCGAAGGCCCCAGTGGCTGCGCCCGCATGCGGTTCCACCCCCCATTCTGGCACACCCCTCACACGTTTCGTGGCCCCATAGGGAGCTCCACCGAAGGCCCCAGTGGCTGCGCCCGCATGCGGTTCCACCCCCATTCTGGCACACCCCTCACACGTTTCGTGGCCCCATAGGGAGCTCCACCGAAGGCCCCAGTGGCTGCGCCCGCATGCGGTTCCACCCCCCATTCTGGCACACCCCTCACACGTTTCGTGGCCCCATAGGGAGCTCCACCGAAGGCCCCAGTGGCTGCGCCCGCATGCGGTTCCACCCCCCATTCTGGCACACCCCTCACACGTTTCGTGGCCCCATAGGGAGCTCCACCGAAGGCCCCAGTGGCTGCGCCCGCATGCGGTTCCACCCCCCATTCTGGCACACCCCTCACACGTTTCGTGGCCCCATAGGGAGCTCCACCGAAGGCCCCAGTGGCTGCGCCCGCATGCGGTTCCACCCCCCATTCTGGCACACCCCTCACACGTTTCGTGGCCCCATAGGGAGCTCCACCGAAGGCCCCAGTGGCTGCGCCCGCATGCGGTTCCACCCCCCGTTCTGGCACACCCCTCACACGTTTCGTGGCCCCATAGGGAGCTCCACCGAAGGCCCCAGTGGCTGCGCCCGCATGCGGTTCCAACCCCCATTCTGGCACACCCCTCACACGTTTCGTGGCCCCATAGGGAGCTCCACCGAGCGCCCCAGTGGCTGCGCTCGCATGCGGTTCCACCCCCCCGTTTCGGCACACCCCTCACTCGTTTCGTGGCCCGGGGGCGCCACCGAAGAATATATCCACAATTGCGGTATTCACAACTACGTATGGTTGGGTCTTTCGTCAGGCTAATCCCACCAGCCCTTTGGGCGTGAGTGGTTTAGAGAGCCCGCTCTGTTCTCAACCCTCCTTCCCCTTCGGGGAGGGGTTTACCCCTCCCCCTACCCCCTCCCCCTGGACCTGGACAGGGTCCGGGGTGGTGTCAGGGGGTCCATTTCGACTCCTCGGAGGGCAACAAAAACGACGACCCTCACGAGGATTCTGGCCCCGACGGGGGGAGGGAGTTTGGCCCCTCTGCTCGTCTTTGAAGCAGAAATCATTGATTTTACGAGGGTTTTGGTTTCATTTTGGCCTTATGAGGGGGCCGCGCTCATCTTCCCTCATAGCAAATCATTGATTTTACGAAGGTTTTGGGCTCATTTTGTCCTTCTCAGGGGGCAGCTCTCATTTGCGCTTCTGAGGAGGTCGCAAGAGGCCCCAAGATGGCCCCAAGAGGCCCCCAGGAGGCTCCCAAGAGGCCTCCCCCCCCCCCCCCCCCCCAAGCGGCCCCAAGAGGCCCCCAAGAGGCCCCCAAGAGGCCCCGAGGCCCCAAGAGGCCCCCAAGAGGCCCCCAAGAGGCCCCCAAGAGGCCCCCAAGAGGCCCCCAAGAGGCGAGGCTCCAAGAGGCCCCCAAGAGGCCCCACGAGGAGCCCGAACGACTCACACCAGGACGAGGGGCCCGAACGACTCACACCACGAAGAGCCCGAACGACTCACACCACAAGGAGGGGCCCGAACGACTCACACCAGGACGAGGCGCCCGAACGACTCACACCACGAGGAGCCCGAACGACTCACACCACGACGCGGGCCCCGAACGACTCACACCACGAGGAGCCCGAACGAGTCACACCAGGAGGAGGGGCCCGAACGACTCACACCAGGATGAGGGGCCCGAACAACTCACACCACGAGAAGCCCGAACGACTCACACCAGGACGAAGAGCCCGAACGACTCACACCACGAAGAGCCCGAACGACTCACACCAGGAAGAAGGGCCCGAACGACTCACACCAGGACGAGAAACCCCAAACGACTCAAATCACGAGGAGCGCTTTCTCTCCCTCCTCCTCCGCCTCGTCCTTCTCCCGCTCCCCTCACAAGGAGGATGTACAAGGAGGCGGGAGGAAGGAGGAACAGGGGAGATATGCGGGGCCAAGCGGACACACGCCTGAAAAACACGACTGTCGGCATGCTTCGCGAGAGTTGCTGCTGTGAGATGGGCTGGTGGGGATACGCGAAGCGTAAAGAATTTTCCCCCCCCCCCCCCCGATTACTGGATCGGGAAGACGAGGAGGGCGATATCGTTCGTTGCACGCTCCGTGTCGGGGCCACCCGCTTGAAGCTGCGAAGCCACCGTGCTCTGCGGGTTCCGGCGGGCACGGCGTGACCGGCACACGGCAGCGTCGCGCCGGGTCGACCGTCGGCGCGCCCCCGCGGCGGGCGCCCAACGGTTGAGCACCACCTGGCGGCCCAGGGTCGGTCGATGTGGATCGGGCCGGACGAAAGGGGGCCCAGATGGTCTGGTACCGGAAGTTTTCGGTGGCGATTTCGACGCGCCCCGAGTTTCGGTAGCGACCGGATCTTCGTTTGAGGGCGTTGAAAAATAGCGGATTTCAGAACGCTCTGATACCGGCATTGGGCGCTACATTTCGGTATTTCGGTAGCGACCGATCTCTGCGGAGCGCTACCGGGAATTTTCGGTAGCGGACCATCAGGGGGGGATTGGGAAAGGGGGGGGTACGAAATTTGCTGCATGCAGCTGATTTCGGCCTCACCGAGGGGCCCATTCCTCGATACGTAGCCGCCTCTGGCGCTGGGAGGCGCCGGGAAAATCAGCTGCGTGAGCTGATTCTCAAACCCCCTCTTTGCTATCCCCCCCTTTCGCCCGACCCGAGTGGAACGGCTTTGACTATTCGGACACGTCCGATCGTTCCAGGCGGAACGATCCCTGCGGTGTCGGGAACCAGCGCCGGAGGTCGACAGGACACGAAGCCGCGGTATATACGCGGGTACACCGTGGAGGCCCATGCCAGGAGGCACCTCCGCCTGCCTCCAGTGCCAGTGTGCCCCGGGCTTCCTTTGGCCTCGATGCTTCTGCGGGGGAGGGCGTGGCGCCCCAGCGCCGAAGATCAGTGGACGCCCTGGGGGTCTCTCGGGGTGGGGTGTCCCGTGGCCGAGCCCCCGCCGTGGGCGGCCCAGGGGCTCGGCGGGCGGGTGCAGCAGGCCCCGGGCCCGCGCGGGCCGCGCGCGCCGCTCCGTCGCGCAGCCACGTCCAGGGCGGTTCAAGAGGGCTCCTGCAGTCGAGACGCTGACATAAGGAGCAGTTTGGGTTCGAAAGGGGCTGGTTGTTCCTTCTTTGGCTCTGGCGGCTGTGCCACTGGGGAGGTGGCGCGGCATTCATCATCTGATCGTGGCCCACGGACACTGTGCGGCCAAAACCAAAGCCCTCGCAGTACCTGGCTCCAGAGCTGTGGGGGTGGCGGTTGAGGCCCCGTGGCTAGTGACGCAGTGGAGCGGAGACGAAATGGCGGCAAGGCCAACAAAAAAGAAAGGGGCTCGATGTTCCTTGGGTTCCTCGGTGCTGTTCCTCCTGCCCTCCTGGGGCACGGAGGCGCTTACAGGGCCAAGAAGGGGCCTCGTTCCTTATTGAGCGGTCCTTTTTTTCAGCAGCCCGAAGGTAGGATGGTCACGTTGTCCTCCACGGTGGCCCAGGATGGTCCAAGCCGCTTCCAAGTCCGCCGAGGAGACCACCAAGAGAGAGAAATATCCACAAGGGCCCCAAGGGCGCCCCGAGAGGCCACAATGATAGCAAATCCTTCAGCACCCAGCGCGTTCCACTGCTCGCAAAGGTCAAATCGGAAAGGTCTGAAAAAAAACACATGTCTGCCTCGGTGTAATGGATCGTGAATCTCCCCGCGGTGGGTCTACGCCATTTGCGAGCAGTTACGTTGCGAGTCGTGGAACGCGATGGTCTACTTACGACGACGTGCGCTGTTGCCTTCTATTCGTTATTTAATCGCTTCGCTCATTCCGCCGGCCCATACAGTCTCATGTCTGCCGTTTGCCCGAGGGCCTGGTGTCAATGCGGCGCTTTGGGGGTTCCTGGGGCCGCTTGGGGGACTCCTGGGGCGCTCGGGGGGGCATTTGGGGGGCCTCCTGGGGCCGCTTGGGGGACTCTTGGGGGCCTCCTGAGGGCCCCGTGGGGGCCTCTTGGGGCCTCTTAGGGGCCTCGTAGGGGCTTCTTAGGGCCGAGGGCTCGAAATGTTGTTTCGTGTTCCCTCTCTGGGGCCCC